TGTTGGGGGCCCCAGAGCTGAAGAGGTGAAGTCCCTGCAATGGGGACTCTGTTGCTGCTGGAATAGGGAGCTGCACACGATCTCTCAGACCACTGATGGATGCAGAGGCAGGTCTCATGTTAGTGTGGATCCCTGTCTAGACTGTGCTACGTGTGGTGCAGGACGGAGATGCAATGTGGGAGCAGAACAGATGGGTGGTGTGGAAGAAGCCCGGAAAGCCCAGCATCCAGGTTATTTGGAGCCTGGTAGATGCTGGTGGCTTTCCCTGGTCACCCCATAGGCATATGAAGGATGGTCGTGCTGGGGGAGGCGGTGGCATGATGTGGGCTGTGCTGCCCTCCACAGTATGTATGTTTTACATGGACATCCTGTGTGTGCTCTGATTTATTTATTTACAAAGGTTCAGATGTGTCTTCTTTCATTCCTTAGGCAATAAAACAGTACTGTTATAAAATAATCATCATTAAAAAAAGAAGCCTGAAGAAAACAGCTGTGGTCAGGGAGACACTTGCTGAATTGTGGCAAGCATCTGCACAGCCTTAACCTCAAACTTCCAGCAAAGATGTGAGACTGTGTGGGCAGGGGAGTAAAAATTCCAAAGCAAAATCAGAGACAGGAGTGGCAGGGTCACAGGGAGCTTCTCTGCCATGTCATACTCCACTGATGGGGCTGAGCAATGACAGACAGTGAGAGGAAACTCAAGGGCCACATTGTGCTTTTTCCAACCAGGGTTTCCACCAGCCAAGCTTACATCTGCAGCCCACCCAAGGAGGGTGTCAGCACCTAGCTGGTACCATGCCAGCCACCCAGATATAACCAGTAGGGTTTGGCAGGGAACGCACTGGGGTGGTGCTTGTTGCCTCTCACTTGTGGGTATTGAGGTGAGGAGGAAGAGGACACCTGAATCCCAGAGGCACAGGAGTCTAGGTCAGGGCTGCACAGTTAAATTAACAGTTTTAACTTCCAGCAGACATCTGGTAGGTTGAAGTCCGCCATGAGAACAAGAGCAAGTAATCATGAAACTTCTCCCAATTGTTTGAAGAACACTTCATCTGTAGCTTCATCCTGGATAGGTGGTCTGTAACTATTATAGACCTATATAGTTATATAGGTCTATAACATCCTACCAGGATATTAGCTTGGTTGGCCTTCCCCCGATCTTCACCCCCAAACACTCAGCCTTCTGACTCACAAAATTGAGTTCAAGGCACTCCCTGACACACAGTGCAACCCCACCACCTCTTTTTCCTTGCCTATCCCTTCTGAAGAGCCTGTAGCCATCCACTGCAGCACTCCAATTATGTGAATCATTCCACCACGTTTCTGTGGTGACGATCTTGGGAACACCAGAGATATTTTTTGATAGTTAGAAAAAATAAATGTCATTGTTCTTGTCTCTGAGACAATAGAAGTCAGCGTGGTCAGATTTGTTTTCATACCTTAAACACAAACATTAAGCAATCACATTTTCTAGGCAGCCTCAGGAATGATGGTATAAATCAAGCACAGACCTTTTATGTTCTGTAAATGTTTTGTTAATGGAATCTAAGTCTTAGGCAAGGGCTGCAGTGGAGCTCTCATTCCATCAGAGGGGTGAGGAGCTGTTCTGGTTATCTGAATGAATGATTTGTGATTTTTTGCCTTATTATTCTTTTGCTGACTGCTCCTGTAACCAGGCTGATGCACTTGTTCAACAGGAGAATTCAGTCTGTTCTTCTTGCCAGATCTGTTTTTGTTTTTTACTTTCTATGCAGAGTAAGACTTACTGCAGCATTGGAGAGTATCTCAACAGCCAACACATCTTCCCTTTCTTGTTTGGTTGAGCTGTTGGTATTTCATGCAATGCAGAAAATAAGGTGGACGGGTTTTGAAGAGGGATAAATATTTCCATTTACTGCAGGAATGATGTGCAGCAAGATGTGTCAGTTGCTATGAACTTTAGATGTGAATATTAGTAGTTCTATAGTTGGAAAGTCAAAGCATACCTACTTACTCAGATTTGGGGGGATATTTGTCTTCATGGTGGCCTAAAATCAGGAAAAACTTACCAGTAGTTGTCGGGTTGCACCATAAATACTGGGAATGCCATAAATTATGGGAAGGAGAGTCCCTTTGCTGGGGCTGGTATCTCCCAGGAATATGGGCCCGTCAATCTGCTGGATTTTGGGAAGAGAAAAAGAGAATGACGCAATTCATGTTCTCAGTGGTATTGCTTTGGACTTGGGTTCATCCTGCTTAGGCTGAGATTTTGGTCCCTGCAGTAAGAGGCTCGTCTGGGAGGTGAATGTGAGATGCCAAATCACCCGTGGGCAGATTCCATCCTCTCATCACTGTGTGGAAAATGTCTGAGAACAGACATTGTGAGCCTCCTAACTGGAGTGTGGTTGGGAATCACTGGAGAGTGATTGTCCTTGGCTGTGGGAATGACAGCAAGTATGCTTTTGCCAGTGCTCATGGCTAAGGGCTTTTCTTTGCTCAGACACTGCCATTTATCTTGCTTTATGAGAGGCTTATTGTCACTGTGAAGAGGCCAAGATTAAGCTTCCTCAGGGATAGGTTCATCAAGCGAGAGGCATTGCCTTGTGGAGTGGTGAATCACTCCCCATGCTGGTTGAGCTCAGCAGGACCATGGCAGTTTTTATTCCTTTTCCTAGGATAAAGCAGGGGAAGGGAGTGGGCAGAATCTATGTAACTACATCCTCACTCGTGGTAACAGTGCTTCAGCTATAGCTGCAACTGTCTTTTCCCTGCCTTGTCCCAGGATGGGGTGGCTGCCACAGCAGAGTGACCTAAACCAGAGAGTTTGGCTTTGGTTTCTAACCACAGTGACTTTCCTCTCCCACTGGTAATTTTGTTATCACTGCTGACCCCTCCACTGGCCTGTAATTCCTCCCTGCTCTATCCCACGGCTGTTGCTTCAAGGCACGGGCACAAGCCAAGGCAATGTCCTGGCGGGGATGTGGACTCAAAGGCCAGCTGGGATCTGAGCACACCTGGCTGGTCTGGTGCTGAGCTGGCTGCTGGTTTGCTGAATCTGTGTCTGCATGGGGAGGAGAGAGGAAGGGAGGGAGAACGGGCTGGTTGGAAGGAAGGTTTACCTGGGTTTGTGTGCCTAAGGGCTGCACCAAGCCAGGCTTGTGTCCTGCACGAGTTGGCTGCCTCTGTGCTGGCTTGCACTGGAGGGACAGTCACCATCCTAGATCCTGTGGCCTTTTACCAGGATCCTTCCCTTCTCCCATGATCATGCTGTTGCTGGCAAACAGACTGCTGAGCACACGATGACAAACCATATGCTGGAATCTGGAGCAAGTAGTAGTGGTGTAACTAACACCTTAGACTCCCTGCTATGTGCTTTAAGCCATTGTGATAGGAAGTTCAATAAAGATGCAAAGGAGCTGTTAATTGCTTGTGATTTGTTGTGCAAAATTAGGCATATTTTATTTGCACCACTGTACAGCTCACCAGTACCATCGTCTGTGCCTTGTAAATCTTAAGTTTAAACCCATTCAAGTTTCACCCCCTACCCAAGGACCTCCTGAAACATTGAAACCCCAAGACTTCCACCTTCATACAGTTTTCCCTCTAGAGAGCTCTCCTGATCCCACTTGGAGTGGGAGGGTGGAACGCAGATCTCCAGAGGTGCCTTTGAACAAACACTTCTGAGGTCCTGTGCAATCAAAGGCTTGCTCTGCAGCAAAGAGCTGTCAGGACCCTCCTCGGTGTGCCCAAGCTGCCATCTCCAGCCTCTTCAGAAGACGTTTGTTTAGGCAGAAACATGGTGTTGCTGCTGTGGTGGGACTGCAATTTGTAAGCATGGAGAGGTCATTAGTGTTACTGCAGTGTCATGGATGACTTATGTCTGGTTTTATTGTTGAAAGTTAGATTTTAAACAGAATTAAAACCCAGCCAGGTTATTAGAACAACAGTTGCTATTTCCCCTCTATTGCTCATTTCAACAGCCAATTATTTGAAGATGAGTGTAAAACCAATCCTGTTTTTCTTAAATTCAGTATCTTCAGTCCAAGTCAGGATTTTTTTAGTCCCAGGTGTGGTTAAAGCTGGGTGTTGGTCCTCTCCTCAGAGGATGGGGGAAGCACGGGCTGTCTGGACCTGCAGGGAGCAGTGGCAGACGCAGTGATACATGCTGGGCTTGTGTTAGGTTGCAGAAGGCTCAGATAGCTCCAGTACAGCAACAGAACTTGGAACTTTTGACCTGGGCAGTCCCAGAGCTCATTGCATTCCTGGAGGAACACAAAGTGTTCCCTACGGAAAAATCCTTCTCATGGTTGTCAGTCATTACTGACTGCTGGCTTGAGAGAAGACAGGGAGCAAAGACTGTGGATGAGCTGGGGGTTTATTATGTGCTCTAGTTCTTCCCCAAGTTCTGGACTTTCCTGGTTTGTGAGGAGAAGCAATACTGTTTTTTAATTAGGTCATGGGAGTTGTGGCTTCTGCAGGCTTGGCTGTGTTACTGGTTCTGACTGCAGCTGTACCGGAGCTGGAGCACACAGAGAGAGAGTTGATCAAGGCAGATTCCAGAAACGCCCATGCTTTATTGAAGATGATGAGACTTAGCTTCTTTGGGATGTAGAAATGCTGGTGATCAGGGACCTCTGGAGGTCTCTGGTCCAGCCCCTGTTTGGAACAGGACCATACCCAGCCCTAAGTCAGGCCAGCTATGGCTTTATCAAGCATCACCTTCCTAGTAAAGAGTTTTTATCCCAGTTTCCAGTTTGAACCTCCTAAACTGTAATTCGTGGTTGTTTCCAGTTGTTACACAATTTGCTGCTTTAGGTGAGGAAACTGCTGCCTCAGAGAGGTGAAATGGACGTTTTCATGGCATGCAGCATCCTGTTTTTCTCTGAAGCACCAGCAGTGGGCATTGAACTGGCAGCTTCTGGCTGCTGCCTGATCTCTGCAGAAAGGCTCAGGAGAAGAGCATGGGGTGCTGATTGCTTTTGTGATTCTTATGTTCCCTTGAGGTTCTTTCTCCTGTTCAGGCTTGCATCAGATCTCACAGAACAAGGTCGCAGTGCTGCTCCTGGCTGGAGGACAAGGAACTCGCCTGGGAGTGAGCTATCCCAAGGGCATGTACAACGTGGGATTGCCCAGTGGCAAGACCTTGTATCAGATCCAAGCAGAAAGAATCCACAAAGTGGAGCAGCTCGCTGGCCAGAGACACCACTGCAAGTGTGCCATCCCCTGGTAGGTGACCTGGAGCCAGAGACCTACTCTGCAGGCATCTGTGTTGCAGTCCTGCCTGTGTGGTTATCTAGAAGCACTTTGTTTGGGGCTGTAGAAAGACATATCAAGGGAGAGCCTTTTGTTGGCAAGATTTGTAATGCCAGGAGCTGGCGCAGGGTGCACAAGGGTGAGGAGTGGCAGGTCTGTGTCTGCAGACCAGAGGGACTGAGCACTGCCCTTGAACCACTGACCACTACCCTCACTGCTGTACCATGCTGTCTTTTTAAGCACAGTCCCTGACAGCATTCTGCAGAGCACTTTTCAGTGCCTGTTTTGGATGCCTCACAAGAGTTGTCATCCATTTGTGCTGTGCCGTCTCAGGTTACTGCGTGGAGGGAGAGATTACCTGGAGCTCACCTTCCAAGACCTTCTTGCCTGCAATTTCTGCCATAGCAAAAAAGGCTTCCCCTCACAGTAGTAAATGCTTGTCATGCTCCATTTCCAGGCCATGTCCTGCTGTTGTCATTTACAGATGGCTGTTGTCTCTTCTGGCTGCTTTCAAAAACCTTCAAAAGGCTTCAAAAGAGACCAGCTCTGTGCATGGTGCAAAATATGAATTCCCTATAGGATGTGGTGGGCAAGAGAGAGGAAGGTGCTGCAGCAGGCTTCTGGGAATGTTCTCTGCAGAGTGGTCTTTGTTAGGCTCTGGAGAGATACCCTTATGACCTGAGCTGCAAATGCACCATCCCTGGTGCTGGTGGAACCCAGGATGGGTTATTTGCAAGATCTGTTGGTGTTTATAGTTCCTCTCTCTGGGCTGAGGAGGCAGTTGGCTACTACAGTACACCAGAGGCTAGGCTATGCTGTGCTGCAAAGATGTACATTGGGGTGTGTATGAGGTCTGGGCTCTCCTGTGCAAGGGACTGATTCCCTTGGCATGCCGGCAGAGGACCCTGTATACCCCTGCCAATAGTTGAAGTGCTTGACAGGAAGATGATGAAGATGGCTCTTAGCTAAGATGGCTCTTAGCTACTGTGTTGAAAAAGGAAGTGGAGTTAAAAACAGCAGCAACATGGAGCTGGAAGGAGAGGAGGAAATAGAGGAAGTTAAGAGAAAAACAAATCCTGCAGCCAGCATTTGAAAATGCTGCTGTTGGCCTTGGCACAGAAGAGACACTGGCAGGCTGAGCTGCTGAGGACTTGCAGCTCATTCTCAGCACCTCATGCCAGTCAATGCTTCTTTAGGCACTTAACATCAGTTGTAATCTGGGGTGAATGAGGCTGTTGTACTGTCCTTTGCTTTGTTTTCCAGCTCATCCAGATGTCATTCACATGTAGGGAACATTCTGTCCTGGCTAGAGCTAAGCCTGTGGGTAGGATCATGCACAAGACCCTGTGCAGTGTCCCTGTGGGATGAGTTCTGGAGGAGAGCTCTCCTGCTCAGTTGCATACTGCAGGACACTGTAGTGTCTCTCATTTAACACTCTTGGGTTTCCTCCTTTTTCTGTACCATTTGTAGTTCTGTCTTTTGCTTGTGCTTATCTTGCTCATTACTCAGCACCCATTTCTACCCAGGTACATCATGACAAGCGAGTTCACGTTGGGGCCGACAAAGGAATTCTTTGTAGAACACAACTACTTCAACCTGGATAGATCCAATGTGGTCATGTTTGAACAGAGAATGCTGCCCGCCGTCACCTTTGATGGGAAGGCCATCTTGGAGGAGAAGGGGAAAATTGCCATGGCTCCAGGTACCCTGCTGTTTCCTCTTACATGGTACCGTAATGTAATATGTGTTGATAATTGCTACCAGCCATCAGCCAGCCTTGGCACATGGAGGAGTCTTTGGAGGTCATAGAATTATAGAATCACAGAATGGTTTGGGTTGGAAAGGACCTTAAAGCTTGCCCAGTTCCAATGGGCATTAGACCAGGTTGCTCAAATCTCTCTCCAGCTGGGTCAGTGTTAATGCTTCTGATTAGCATGGGAGGGTTCAGGTCAATGTTTCAGGCTAGTGATCAAGAGTGCAGCAATCTCTGTTCTATTCTTCCCAGAGATTCGGCCACAGGAGGTTTTTATCAAAGTCTGGGAGCATTAGCAGGATTAGGAGTGATGCAGCCTACAGGTCAAGAGCAAGTTGCAGCGGCAGGGCTGTGCGTGAGGTCCCCGAGGTGCTGCCACCCAGCGGTGAAGCTGCCAGGAGCCAGGCTCGTGTTCAAGGCTGATAGCTGGAAATGGGTAAAGAAGATAAACTCGGCAAAACAATTGCAGTGTCTCAGTACAGTTCTCCTCTTAACCTGGACATGCGAAGAGACTCAGTGAAGGCAGCCTGGCTGGGGCCAGGTTGCAGTGATGCAGTTTTGTGGCTGCAGAGTGGTTTTCTTGAGCTGACAGGAGTGTCAAAGGAGGAACTTTGAAAGTGTGATCTCTGAGGAGCAAATGTGAAGGTGTCTTGTGCAGCTGCAGTTCAAGCCTTTTAAAAGGCACTGGGAAGTTGGGGGGGAAAGATAAATAGAGAATAAGATTTATTCTGGTCTTTTCCTCTAAGCTGGGGTTTTTATATAATTAAAAATATAATATATGCACTGGAAGATAATGAATGTAACAGGCTCTTCCCACCCTCCATATAATGTTTTGCCCTTCGGTGTTTTCCCTCTGAGGATCTTATAAGACTTCATAAAGTGTCGTAAGGCTTCTCTGTGAGGCTGGTCCCCATGGTCCCACTCTGCCAGTGAGCAATCTGGGGTGTGCAGGGGAGGTTTGCCTGAACTGTGTGGCAAAGCTGGTGATAAAACCTGGTAGCACTGACTCTGGTCGCACTGACTCTTGGCCAGAGAGCATTCCCTGCTCTGCTGTTTAAGAAGTTCAGAGCTTTTGCTCTTTTAGCTCCAAACCCCCCACAAAGGCACTAATTAACCAGGTCTTTTTCTTTTCTCTTGTGTTATAGATGGCAATGGTGGCTTATACCGTGCTTTGGTGGATAATAAGATTTTGGATGACATGAAGCAACGTGGAATCCAGTATGTCCATGTATACTGTGTGGACAATATCCTCGTGAAAATGGCAGATCCAGTCTTCATAGGCTTCTGTGTTTCCAAAGGGGCAGATTGCGGTGCAAAGGTGAAGCGGTGCTAACGCTGGGCCATTGTCCCATGGGCAGTTAAGGTCTGACTATGCTTGGAAGCTGCTGGCTGGGTGAGCTTAGGTGAACTGGGGGGTTCACACCTCTAACAGCAGCTTGCTCCAAGCTGTTAGAGGAGCTGCTCGCTGCCTGCATTGCATTCAGAATCCCTATCTGTTGGTGTCCTCTGCTCTTCCCAGAGTACAGTCGGAAATAAACTTCCATTAGAGCAGGGATTGTAATTGCACAGGGAACTACAGATTGGAATTAATTCCTGCTTATGACCTGCCCTTTCTGCAAAGGCACTTGTCCTATCTAGAAGCTGTATTGTACTGGGTTGTGGTTTATAAATACACCTTTAAGACTAGTGAAGGCATTCCTTATGCCCTGCTGTGGAAGATGGAGAAAGCCAAACCAGCCTGGGTTTTGTCACCCTAAAGCAGCAGGTGCCTAAGGAAAGATATATATTACTTTAATCATTAACACTGAAGGCTAGTAGCTGCAGACATTTTCCATTTAATGCCAGGTCCCAGTCTTTGATAAGAAAAGTGTCCCATGGTATTTGATTTTTTTTAACTGGTTTGTCTTCTGAGCAGTACTGGGTTTTATGCCCAGTTGTTGGGCAAAATGTGCCTCCAGGCTACTCTGGATACTAGCACTGCCCTGCCCCTGTTCCTGAGGTGCCAGAGGATCAGTGGGAAACAGTCCTATAGGATTGTTTGTTGTTTGGAGTTGAAATAGTGCTGGGATTTTCTTCCTCCTTGTCATAGCCCTCTGTCTTGTGGTTACAGGTGGTGGAGAAGGCCTACCCCACAGAGCCTGTTGGGGTGGTGTGCTGTGTGGATGGGGTCTACCAAGTGGTGGAGTACAGCGAGATCAGCCTGGAGACCGCACAGCAGCAGAGCCCCGATGGGGGACTGATGTACAGCACTGGCAATATCTGCAACCACTTCTTCACGGTTGAGTTCCTGGAAACAGTGGCCCAGTAAGTTCCAGCAGACCTGCTAGGCAGCTGTGCAGCCCAGAAGTGCCTCCAAGAGTGGGTGTTCTCATTTCCCACTCTGTAACTTTAGTTATGGGTGCCTCCTGCTCTGCCTTTCATCTCCTCTCTTCTCCAAACAGTTCAAAACAGCTATGTCCCCTTTCCAACAGCCCCAGTGTGCTCTTCAGGCCTTACCCAGTGAAGACGTGGCATGCTTTGCTGTAGCTAAATCAACAGAGATATACCAGTGCATGACCTTCCTGGCCCTGCAAAGTTGAGCAGCCATGTGGGCTGCATCATGGTCAGTGATGCAGCCCCACACTGAGGATTTTCAATGACAATGCCACACATGCCCTCCCTTGGGACAACAAGAGGTTGAGGGAGAGGGTGAAGGTGGAGGGGGCAACTGTGCTCCTTGGTGTTGGGAGATGGAGATGTGATGCTGGGCATTCAGTGAGCAGCTGTACAATCTTCGTGAAGAGCTTGATCCACCTTTGTCTGCAGGATCTGCTGTGCTCTGTTGTCATCCTGGTCAGGTAACAATTTCAGCTCCAGGTTAGGCCCTCCCTCTCCTCTTGCTTTACCCTGTCCTGTCCCTCTGGTACAGGGAGTCCTGCTGGCTGGATTGCTCTGCTCAGTGTTTCCTGGGTGTGCCTTGGATCAGTTTGGAGACAGCAACACCCACAGCAGTTCAGATGACCTTGAGCAGTAATAAGGCATCTCATTTCTAGAAGTGAACTATTTTTTTCTAAGTGGGCATGAAGTAAATGAACTGGTTTATTCTCCTTTTGCAGGAAATACGAGCCGCAGCTGAAGCATCACATAGCCATAAAGAAAGTGCCCTACATTGACGAGGAGGGAAATCTGGTAAAACCACTAAAACCGAACGGGATAAAGCTGGAGAAGTTTGTGTTTGATGTGTTCCAGTTCTCTAAGTTAGTGGCAGACATGATTTAATTTTTTTTCCCTCTCCTCAATGTTTGTTTGAATGACTGTAGGTTGTAACAGGCCTTGCCAGGGAGCGTATGGTTTGTGGGTGGCTCCTTAGAAAGGCTGCTGGAACTACACCGAGCTCCAGCACCACAGTCACACTGTCGGCTCCGAGAGGGGCCATGTTCGTTCCACCGAGAATGTGGAGGCTGGTCTGGCCTCTGCCAGCCCTGTGAAAGAAAGAGAAAACAGGAGATCGAGCACAAAGCCAACGTGTAGTACAAGTCCATGTTGGACTGTTCAGACCCCAAAAATTGGGTCTTTTAGGATTCTGGCTTCCATGGCAACTGCAGCTCTGGTTATGGGTTTTGTGCTCACACCCTTTGTGCTCAGAAAGAAAACAGGTCGTTTAAGCCCTGTGGGGCCGAATTACTGTTGCTGTGGAACTGTCAGTGTTGACTTGCCAAGCACTGAGAATGCTGTGCCCTGGTGTCGGTGCAGTCAGAGGTCCTTTGTGTTTTGACAATGTGGGATTTTAATAATTTAGGAATTTAGCATAAGAGTTCTTACAAAAGCTGTTTTCTGAGGTGTGGAATTCAGCAGTAAAAATTCTGTTTTAGGCTTAAACAAATGGCAGAAAAAGACCTCATGAAAACTGAATTACCTTTCTTTGGTGACAGTGTTTTTCTCTTCAGACGATTTATTTTAGAGAGCTCAGGGGTTGAACCAGTCTGTTTCCTGACATGCCTTCAATAAAGTATCACATACCTAAGCCAAAACCAGTGTGGTGGAAACAGTGCCAAGTCCTGAGCATTGAAAGGACTCATTTGCAAGCAGCGATTCCTTGTGCTTTTCTGGTAATACTGCAAAACCAGCTTGGCAGCTGTTCTTCACACGTGAAATGCACATGGATGCTGCAGTGGGATTGCTTTAATTTGCATTTCCATTGCTAGTAAATGGCTGCACTTAACATTCAGTGTGAATCCTCCCATATTGCTCATTCATCCCTGGGAACTGGTGTTCTGAGTTGATCCTTGCCTACAGATCTCAAGTGGAGTGTCATTTCTTGGAGCAGGGTGCAGTGCTCTGAAGTGCTCAGGGCTGTGTCTGAGCCTCAGGAATCGTTTCTCTCTCCATCTTCTTGTGCTCTTGGCTGAGAATTTTTGTCCATGAGCCTCCCAGAGCCTGGAGAGGTTTCTGTGGGATCTCTGCAGAACTGTTGTTTTTCCTCTTTCCTGTGCCTAGCTGTTGTGTGGCTGCTCTTATGTTCCCAAAGACACTGAGCTGCTTCTTGTGTTTTTCCATCATACAGCCCTGGTGCTTCTTTGCTGTTCAGATGGGAGGTGGGCTTTTCTCAGCTTGACTGTCCCAGGCTGCATACATTGCTGCTTCCGAAATATATATGAGCCTTTCCCCATGAAAGTTGTTGCATCAGCAGGGCTGATGGCTAGCTTGGTTTTTCATTATCATTGTTTTCTCCCCTTTGCTGGTAGGAATTTTGTGGCATTTGAAGTTTTAAGAGAAGAAGAGTTCTCACCACTAAAAAATGCAGACACAGCTGACAAAGACACTCCCACCACTGCACGAGAAGCTCTCCTGGCCCAGCATTATCGCTGGGCTCTCAAGGCTGGGGCCAGATTTCTGGATGAAAATGGTTGCAGGATACCAGAGAAACTCAGGTAGGAACCTCTGTGTCCTGCAGCTTCCCTGCCTGTGGCTTCTCAGCCATGCCAGCTAGCTAATGGCATGTACTGTGCTCTACAAAGGCAGGCATTAGTTTGACTCCAGGGTGACTCGGCATGATTCTTGCTCAGCTGGTAATTTCTGAACATACAGAGTAATGTCCATTACAGCTCCTGCTCCATTACAGGTTGCGACTGCTCCACGCAGTAATGCACAGTGCTCAGGGCTTTGTGTCTGGCAGAGATTCCTGCCCTTGTGGTCATGAGTTGTCTCCTCCTGTAGCAGTTTCTTAGGCAGGGGCAACCTTTCCCATCATTCTGGTTTAGCCAGCCCAAGGAATTGTAGTATGTAGTCCTCACCAGCTTTTCTGAATATGGCCCAGCATGATTCTCAGGTGGCCTTAATGATCAGCTATTATAGCAGTTACCAATTCAGATACTTCCTGCATCATTCTAAATGGGAAGCTGCTTTTACACTGTGGGGCTATTATTTCATCAACTCATAGTTTAATAAACCCACAAGCTGTTTGTATTACTTGAAAAGCACCCCAATAAAAGCGATGTTCTTGTTTTGGTGAGAAATATTTGGGACCTGCTAATTCCCTTTTATTTTCACAGTTTGCGATTGGATAATGTCTGGTGCATGTGAATATAGCAAATGTCTTATCCTTCTGGATATCCTATTCTTGATGAGCTTTCTGAGAAAATGCACTGTTTTTTAAGCATAGCAAGAAGTTAATCCTGTGTTCTCTTCTTTAGTCTCTCAGGACCTGAAGATGTTCCGGCTGTGTGTGAGATTTCTCCATTAGTGTCTTACTTTGGAGAGGTGAGAATAACTGTCTGTGGAGGTATTTTTAAGTATGCAGGTATACATCTGATTTCCTTCCAAATATGGGGGATTTCTTTAGCCTGGGCTTGCTGAGAAATGGTAAGATCAGGGAACTAGGTTTTGGGCTTTGTGTTTGTCTGGGATTCAGCGCTTAAACCACGACAGTGTTACATTCCTGGTTCCACTGTGATTTACTCTTCAGCAGTTTGTGCATGCTCAATTTTAGCCATCTGTAAAATGAGATTTGCAACAAGACTGCACAATTTCATCCAGACTTATGAGTACTTTGAGATCTTATGAATTAAAATCATGGAATATCCAAATTACAAAATCCATGGGGTCACTATATTCGGTGTGTGCTGATCTGTGCCTGTCTCTCACAGTCAGTGAACACTGAGTGAGAAGTGTGATATGTGCATTTGATTTAGAGAAACAATATCTTGGATTTCTCAAGTTGTCCCTCTGCAAATAATTGGTCCTGGGAAAGCTACTTCCATTTAGTAGCAAGAAGAGGAGCTTCCCTGTGTTAGACAGACAGGTTGAGAAATAGTGGATTGCAGGAGGATATGTGGACACTATGAGGAAGGGCATTCATAAAACTTTACATCTTTGCTGGGTTTCTGTGTGCAGGTAGTGAACTCATTGCAATTGATGCATTGTAAGAAAAAAATTAAAACAAGGCAATTTAAGTTGACTTTTCTTTGCTAATATTATTGTAATGTGAGTTAAGGATACACTTTCCCCTTCCTGCCCCTCCCCAGGAAGCTTGATTTGAGATCCATTGTTTTACAGTTCATCGGTGCCTCTCCTTTATGAAGCCGAGGCATGGGGCTGAAACATTTTGCCTGTCACTGGGGAAACTGTTGCTGTTGTCTGTCCTTCCAGTGACCTTTTCACTTTGGCTAGTCAGTTTTTCGTTTAGGATATTAGAGAGACTTAAAAATAGTGCAGATAACCAGTCTGATGCATTTACAACCTAACAGTGCTGTTTTCACATGTTCTTAGGGTCTGGAGGTGTACATGAAGAATAGAAACTTCCAATCTCCCTTTGTACTCGATGAAAACAAAGCACAAACGCTAGAAAATTCTTGAAGAGGGGGGAGGCCTTTCTCTGAAATCAGATACTGTCTGTCAGATCCATTGTAAGAACTGACATTACTAAAATAATCAGCTATGAAGTGCATTATAAAAAACATTGCTTTGCAGTATCGATCGATGCCAAATCCTTGCAGCAATTGTGTTTGCACACACATGTATGCTTACCAGTTCTGTTTGGTAACTTTGAAGTCTGTGCCTTTTACCTCAGTCTGTTTTGTAGACTTGGATGTGAATGAAGATTAATACCTTCTGGGTACCAAATGTATTTTATATTTTTTATTTGCTGTGCATACAAATATGTCAGAGACAGTCAGGGTCTAATAAATCAGCTTTGCATTCAAGAAGATTAAATCACTTCAGTGCCTTGTTAGGGATCTTGTTTGTAGTGGTGAGGTTAGTGGTTTCTGATATCGTTTTATTTCTTTAATTTGTGTGCACACGTGAAGAATCAGTTTGAGGCGCCATACTGAAAAGTATGGAATGAGTTTGTGTACTGGGGCCTTTCTTTCCAAAGATCCATCTTTCCTCTAATGCCGTGCTGGTTAGAAGATCCAGTTCAGCAATTGCATCTTCTAACCAGACCACACAGAGTCTGCAGTAGGTAGGGATGCTGCTGTGCATAAGTGTTGCTTGAGGTTTGGACTCCAAAGCAGATCAGAGTAGTATGAATATCTAGGTTTGCTGGTGCCATTCCAAGAAAACATATGGAAATATGGAGCTTTGACTGATTGTTCTTTACAGCTGTTGGTTTTTTTATTGAAAAGAAGATGATTATAATTTTTTTTCACAGCAATCATCTGCTCCTCCTGTCTATAACAAAGTTATGTTACTTTTCATTTTTCTGTTTAATATGGTCCATATCCCTCAAAGGGGACTCTTTTAAAGTACCTGAAAGCAATAAGAGGCATAAATCCTGATGGTAGAATTTAATGCCTAACCAAAACAAATGAAAAAGACTCAATCCCTGTATGATCACTGCACATGGTAAAACACTAGCTTCTCCTTCTACAGTTTCTGGATATCCTTTAGATGCCTTCCATTTAAATACATTACTAACCATAATGTAGAGATAAGTGTCATCTAATTAAGGACACTTAATTGTTAGAACGTATGTAGCATGTGAACTCAGCCCTGGCCAAGGGTTCCAGGGTGACCATGAGCCACAAATGATTGTTCCTATTCAGCCTTTGGGCGCTGCCCCGGCAAGCTTGTGCCAGGCAAGCACTTGCCTGCTGCAGAACCTGCACAGAACACACCAGAGTGGTTTCACCCTCATGAGGATGCTTCAGGTGTGCCTCTGGGTGGCCTTTGCTTTAAGAGCACTTTATACTTCTTCCCTAAATCAGGTTTAAAGGAAGGTGGGGAGGAAGATGCCTCATCTGGAATGTTGTTATTTCATGCATCTGCTTCTACCGAGGAATTGCTGATGCTGTTTTATTAAGCATAATTTTTTTAAATAACTTAAGTGGCTTTCTGTGATTCCTGATGTGAAGCTGTATTCAGAATGTTGGAGAAATATAAAAATGGCTTTGAGAGTAAATACAGTTTGTGATTAGGCTCATGTTATCCAAAGAAAGCATCTAAATGTCAGTGTCAGTTTTCCAGTATAAGGTGTATCTATATGCACAGAAGTAGTGAGCCTTTTGCATGTGCAAACTAGCTCATGACAGTTTTGATTACCTCAGTTTGCTGTGTGTCCATAATTCTCATTTTTAGTATAAATTAAGCATTTGTCTGTGATGCTCAATTCTGTATTTTTTTCCTTACAGTGTTTCTATGGGTCATTCCACTCCTGTCAGTCAAGTTTTATATCTGTGCCCTTGTTTTGGCTGGGATAGAGTTAATTTTCTTCCTAGCAGACTCTATGCCAGCTGAAACCAGGACAATCTGCCAACAAATTATGTTGCATCTTTGTGAGTATTGCGTGTTGATTCAGGCACAGCTCTATGAAGAAAGCATATTTCTTTTACTCTTTCTAAAGTGCTTTCTTTTGAGACTTCAGTTCCCATGAGCTTTAATCATAAGTACACTGAACTGTTGACTGGTTTTAGAGGTTGTTTTTGAGGAGAAGCTGATTTTGCATGCTGAATGCCTTGTCTGTTGGGGTTTTTTTCTACAACTCCTCACATTTTAAATTGAAACATAGAATTCTGAGAGAACTTAAAAAAAAAAAAAGAAAAATAGTATCTGTCCTGTATGTAGCAAAAATTCTAATATGCATTATGAAATGAAAAAAGTACCCAAAACAAAGGGAGGTCCTTTAGTACTCCAGAAACTTTTGGACACCTAAGCATTTTTATAATAAAGTTGTTACTGTGATTTTTATGTGTCTGTCTGTGTTTCTTGTCCATGAGGAAAATACACTTGTTGTCTTTGTCCTTACACATGATGGGTGTTGTCAGCACAGCTGCAGGACACTGAGTGTCACCGATGGCCTGGCTGGAGGCTGCAGTGCCCCTGTTGCAGAGGTACAGGGGGATGTGGAACTCAGCAGAGGGTAATTCCTGACAGTGTTTGACATTGTGGATGTATAATTTTCATCAGGAAAGAGAAGATTGTTTCTGCCTGCATTCCTGTTTGTTTGGTGGGTTTTTTTCCAAGCTTTGCAACTCAGCTTACTGAGGGGAAGGAGTTTCATTGTTAGTGGTCTGTGCTTTTCCTTTCTTTAAAGTAGAATTGAGCAATCTGGATCTGAATCAGGCTTTCACAGATGCTCTGTAGGTTATGAGCACTCACTGTAACACAGCTTTTGCTTGGCTTCCCAGTGGCAGCATTTTTTAAACAGGGCTTTATTTATAGAAGTCTTTGGTGGAAGTTGGTATTTTTTCACAAATGACAGATTGTCCTCTTTTGGGGGTTTAGTGCTGAACCCAGCAAAGGTCAGAAGTAGATATTCTATCTTCCTTACCTATTTTGCCCCATGTTTCTTTCTTGGCACCCCTGTGAAGGCTGCTGGGTTTTTAATATGTTTTTAAGCTACATGAACCAGTAGTTTCCTGTGATAGGAAAACAAATACTAAAAATAAATGCATGCTTCAGGCTTTTGTTAAATTATTCCTCCGCTTGTCTATGCAGAGTGTTCACATCTATCAGAATTGTTTGCTTGGTTTTTCTGAACATGAAATGCTCAGAAAAACCCAAAATTTTAGTTTTTTCTGGAAATCTGTTGTGGAGGTAGACTCTAAAGGCTCAAAAGATGCATGTTAACTAAATAGTTAGACACAGCTAAAGGTGAATTCAGTGACAGCACTTAAAACCGCTGCTTCAGTTCTTTACTTTTCCTGTTGAACTACAAACCCATCTAGAACTAATCATTATTACAAAAGCAGTCATGTTGTGGCTCTGAATGTGTACATCACTAAAGAGTGCTGCACCCTATTCCTCTGCACCCACTGATAACGTCCCTGCTCCTCTCTGGTGAAGATGCAGAGAACTATTTGCACAGGGATTGACAAAGGGCTGGGCATCTGTGGGGAAGCAGGTGGGGGAAGGAGTTGTGTGGACAAGAGGACCCAGCTGAGCAACAAAATTCAGTGCTGGATCTTATGGAAGGGTTGTTTACACAACTGCTTAAGTTGATTTTCACCCACTCGCACACGTCCTTTCACAGATTTCAGTTGTCTACTTTCAGGCTTATATTGTCTGCCCAGGACTCTGTGTGTGTGACACAGGGGATGAGGGATGCCAGCTGTAAAACATGTCTCTGGGGTTCTCACTGGTGAGTGATAATGATGCTAGACAGATTCTTCTTCAGAATCAACAGTTGTTTGGGGTTTTCCTTTGCTGTGTTCACTTTCCTGGCAGGCTGGCAGGAGGAGCAATGGTGTGGAAAGGGGGTGATCCTCTTGTCGGGGTGCAGTGTCCAGTGCTGTGGCCTTACCATGGTTCACCAAGGTGGGCGGGAGCTGCCCCTTCCTGAGCATGACCAGTTAAGATGCTACTGGAGAGGGTCCAGCAGAGACCAACGAGGATGATAGGGGTTTGGAGCATCTCTTTTATGAGGAGAGATTGCAGGAGCTGAGCCTGTTTAGCTTACAGAAGAACAGACTGAGAGGGGATCTCATCAATGCAGATCAGTATCTCAAAGATATGGGTGCCAGCAGGATAGTTGCAGACTTTCAGTGGTGCCCAGTGACAGGATGAGGAGCAATGGCCACAAACTTAACACACAAGTTTCACCTCAACATGAGGAAGAAGTTCTTTCTGTTGAGGGTGTCAGAGCACTGGCACAGGCTGCCCAGGGGGGTTGTGGAGTCTCCCTCTCTGGAGACATCCCAAACCCACCTGGACATGTTCCTGTGTGACGTGCTCTGGGTGGCCCTGCCCTGGCAGGGGGTTGAGCTGAATGATCTCCAGAGGTCCATTCCAACCCTAACGGTTCTGGGTTTCGGTGACTGACAGGAGCGTGCAGGCCCTTCTCTGGTTATCAAGTTGTTTTCCCTGAAGACCATCCACACATACATTTCCATTTTTCTTTCTTTCATGACAGTATTTCTGTGACTGGTCTCTACATTATAGTGTCACACCACCGAGGAAAAGCGAGGG